CCGGCTCCTTCTCGCTGATCCCTGCCGTTCCCCAGGTAAGTTTTCCACCCCTTTCCACCCCTGGGGCTGGCGGCGGCAGGAGAAGGCAGGGCGGGGGGAAGGAAGGAAGCTGCTGGGAGGGGGGGGGAGAAGGAGGGTGCATCAGGGTTCAGTTACGGCTTTTTTGTGGGTGATGGTGATGCATGGCTTGGATTGCCTTTTTCTTTACGTCTTCTTCCCCGAATGTTAGTTGCTCTGGGGGCGGCTGTAGCATTTAATTTGGATTCCTTTCTGCAGAACGGTGACAGTCGCCAGGGCACTGAAGCTAATAATATAAGCACATGCTGCCCTGTCGCTCATCTCTTCAGCTCAGCTCTCCCCCTCTTTCCTCCTCACAACCAATTAAAAACAAGCAAAACGAGAGGATCTAATAAGAGTGATATTAAAAACCTTTCACATTTTCAACTAAGGGAAGTATATTTTAGGGGGAGATACTGAAATAAGCCCGTTACTGGCTGGTTTCCATGGTGCAGGCCTCAGCCCCGTGGTATGAATTCCGCGCTGTGATTTCTCAATCACTGATTTTGTTTGTAAGGGGGGTGTGTGTGAAGTTTAAAAAACAAAACAAACACACCACCAAAAAAAAAAAAACTACAACAAAACCCCAAAGAGACAAATACCATCAACCCAAAAAATCCACAACCCACCCTGGTGTAAAGATACTAACTAAAAGATACTAACTACTCACTTTGGTCTCATTGTTCTAACTGGCCATTGCTTGAAAGTAGCAGTGTCAGGGACCTGACAGGGTGAAGACCTGTCACAAAACAGGCAAGGATGCTCCATCCACTGTCAGACAACTCATTGACACCTTGAAACCATTCCTGCTAAGCAGCACATCCAATATCTTTCCTTAGTCCTATCTTTTCTTCCCTAGACGCTCCCTGAACAATGCATTTGGGAGCTGAAGCTGTTGTGAGGTGGACTTGGGTTTCTCAGAAGTATTAATGTATTTCATGCCAACAGCTTCATGGCCCCCAGGAACTGGGATGTCAGCCACGCAAAGCTGGGTGGAGAGCAAAATCCTTCTGTCCCTCACCCTCCACAACCCCCCTTTCAGAATTACAAAATTAAGTCCATATACCCTGGGGAAGTGGTCGGTGAAGGGAAGGAGAAAGACACTGGTAGGTTGGTGATACTTTCTGTTCCTATTAGTAAACTTGGCATTTGTGGATTCCCAGCCCTAATGAAAGGATGAACAATCCTATGACAAAAAAAACCCCAGAAGTATCACTTATTTCATAAAAAAAACTTCTGAGATCGCAACTATTTGGTTCCACAAGTAATCATTACAAATATAGGAAAGTACCAGAATTTAAGTAAGTTAACACTTTGCATTTTAAAAGGAAAAAAAGCAAAACTGTTATCTTAAAACATATTGAAAGTGTTTGCTCATGGCTCTGCATTCTTCCTCTGTGCCTTGGCCACGTCTCAAGGCAGTTTCATATCAGAACAGCTCAAACAAAACCACCCAGGTGTTAAAATAGCCCCTGTCTTTGTTCATGGCATCCATCGTTCCCAAATACCAAACATATCAATATACACTGAAGGCTTGATAATTGTGAGAATTGGCGCCCTGACTTGCTTCCAGCAATTTAGCAAAGAAGGAATTTCTTGGTTCAGGAGTTCTGGCCTAACTCGAGTGGCGTTTTATATGGCCAGAGCAACGTAAAAGACTTTGAGAAAATGCTGTTAGCACTGAACCATAGTTGGGGGAGAAGACAGGTGTATGGTTGCTGTAACAGAGAAGAACACTAGCAAGCCTTGTCCTCAGATATGTGCATGCCACTCTTGCTGCCTCAGACTTGTGAAACTACAGTAAATATTTGTACAAAAAAAATTCTGCCATACAGAACTGTACAGTGCCGTATCTCTCGTTAGCATCTGCGGGACAAGAAGTCGACCAATTAGACTGAGTAAATATAACAGCGATTACTCACTTGGACCTTATTTCCTGCTCTGAGAAGTATCTCCATAGGATGTAAGCAATAAAAAAGAGCCATTTTCATCAGCCTCACCTGAATATAGAGTACAAGTTTTACATGGTCCCAATCTTTATTCACTTGATGTGTTTGTGAATAGTGACATCTGACAGAACCACGTTCTTGAAAATTCCCCTGAAAATCAAGCTGGATTTGATCAGGTTTAAGTTCAAGAAAAAAGTGTCCCCTCATGTGTCCTTATTTCCTGCTCTGAGAAGTATCTCCATGGGATGTAAGCAATAAAAAAGAGCCATGTTTTATCAGCCTCACCTGAATATAGAGTGCAAGTTTTACATGGTCCCAATCTTTATTCACTTGATGTGTTTGTGAATAGTGACATCTGACAGAACCACGTTCTTGAAAATTCCCCTGAAAATCAAGCTGGATTTGATCAGGTTTAAGTTCAAGAAAAAAGTGTCCCCTCATGTGTATGCTTTAGAAACTACAGTTGTTGTTGTTGTTAGCTTTATGCAATGGTTGCCTCCACTGCCACGCTCACAGGGCCTGTGACACGTTCAGAACTAATCGTCCTGGTAAGTGGTGTTGACAGCAAATAACCTTTATCTTGTGCTGATATGAGGAACAAAAAGATATATATCTATATCACGGCCATACTTTTAAGGAGGAAATAACAGGTTAGCTCAGATTACCATGATTCTAAAACTCAGATATTATTTTTTTAAATTTTATTTTTTTTAGTGCATGACTTTGTAAGCTTAATACTCATCTTCTGTTACTTTCTAGTTTTCTGGTTTTTGTTCTTATATACAGCATATAGAGGTATGCAAAAAACACTAAATTCCAAATTGAGCTGTGAAGGTTTTTTCACCTGATCTATGGAGGGGGGAGGGAACATCACTGAGAAGTCTTCTAGCTGGGAAATAATATTGTTTGTCTCTAATTTGTCTATCTTTATTGCTTTTCCTAGGTTTGTAACAATGGTAAAGGAGGATACTGTACGTGACAATGAAAATCCTGACCCATCAGTATGTGACAGAAATGGCATGATTCCCATGCATGAGCAAAGCGAGGTAATTAATTAGGATCTCAAAGTACAATTTTTAGTCAAACGGAACCCTCCTTTTCCTTTCCTTTTTCTTTCTACATCTGTTAAAATACCTATAGCTGAAGAGAATGCAAAGAGAAATCTCCTCAGTGGGAATTTCTTACAACTAACAAATGTTCAGTTTCTAAAAGTCTGCGGATTGCTGAAAATCAGTGGTTGTGATTTCAGCTTGAAGTGGAAAATGCATCAGCGTGCCTTTTACAATCAGTGAGGGAAGAGAATTGTGTGGACTTAAGGTTGCTTCTTTGCTTTTGAATTGTGCCTGTCAGACCACTGGCTGAAAGTTGTTCATGCACGTCTTCCTTTTCTTATCTATTAAAAATAAAACCCCACAAATCATTGTTTTAAATGTCTCTATGCATATTGCCAGTGTTCTTGGAAATGCCTACAGCTTTGAAGAAGATTTGCAGTAAATGCAAGTAAGAATAACATTCTTAACATAAAAGACACTTTAGAACAAACATAGAGTGTATGTATAGTATAGTGTAACTCTAAAAATATCATATGGTATATCTTTATAGACATGGGTAGCTGGTGATCACAGAATCACAGGGTAGAGAAACAAGTAACTCCATGCTGAGAGCTCACAAGATTTGTGTTCCAGCTGTGACTCTGAGTAAAGGATATATATATACATATATATATATGGAGAGAGATAGAGATGAGACAGAAAAATAGTGGGAAATGTGGAACTGTCACTGGAGGAGGGCCAAACCACAGTGTAGGCAAGAATTCCATGTCCATGCTGTGACAATGAGCCGACATGAAGGTGAATAATCGTAAGGAAAGGTAGATGATTAATATCAAAAAATAAGGACCCTAAAATGGAGTGGGACACATATCCAAAAATGGTCAAAAAGTGCTTTGGTTATGAATATGGATAAGCAGATGAATCAGTATAAGAGAACAGCTTCAGGGAACTATTCTTCAAGGAAATAACTCCCAGGGTAGTATTTCTTCATCTCTACCTTGACTTACCAGCTTGAGCCTTCCAGCAATGGATCATGTGAGTAAGGCTTGCACTGGCCAGCTCTTCTGTTTCTTTCATCTTTGTCTAACTAAAATAAGTTTTGCTATTTGGTTCAAGGCGTTGCAACAGAAGTTATTTAGGAGTTGTATTAAAGACATTTTCTCACTTGAATGATGCTAATCGTTAACTGTAGTGTGGAATCCAGTCTGGAAGCAGAACCCCACTTACCAAATTGTGGAAAATATTGATAAACATTTCGCTTATATACAAGATAAGCCAAACCTGCCCTATTAATATTGTTTCTTCATCAAATATGCTGATATGGTTGCTGAACAGGTACTATTTGTATTGGGACAGGAGTCCTGCCAGTTGCAGGTAGAAAGGCAAATGTCTCTCAGTCTCTCACATGCAGCTCCCTGTGCCACACAAAAACAAACACATAACCAGAAATCCCAAATATGCTCCAAAGCCGGACCGTTCCTACAGCGTTTGTGTAGTCAATGCAGTCACTTGTAGACGGTGTGGATCTAGTGCATCACAGCTGATTCCAGGTCTTGTACGCTACTTCAAATGTCTACAGTGCCACTTCTGAGAGAGTGTCAATTGTTTTCATTCAGGAGGGACCAACAGCAGATGCCAAAGGTACTGATGGGACTATACAAACAGAAGAAACTGCTCTCTTGAATCACTGTGCTCAGCCACCTCCGGAACCGATAGCAGCCTCTTCAATACCTGCAAGAACTTGGAGGCAAATATTTACTTGTCCTCCTCAGGGTTTACTGGCCCAAACAGTGACAAATGGTATGTAAGAAATAATTTAATTAACCTGAGAAATGGCAAATGAAGTATTCGTTTTTCTAGATGTGATGATACCATCTGTCTATTGTCCTTGAAAACAATGAAGAGAAATAGCTATGTTTTACAAATCACACTTTTGTTTCAACATTCTAGCAGGAAAAAAAAAATTAAGTGAAGCTAAGATTTGAATTTGTAATTTTTGTTCCTCCATTCTCTCTTCTGTGGTTAACATGGTAGGTATGTTTTTGCAATTTGCAAATTGTTTTCATGAGAAGAAAGACCTCCTAATTCTCATCTTGATAGTTCATTTTGGTGTGAGAGCATTGAGATTATTATTAACACAGCTGGGTTTTTGGCACACTGGATGGCTTTGTGTTGAATGAAGGCAACAAACGTGAGACTTTGCAGTCTTATGTTTGGCCAGGTTCTTTTGTTTCTTAAAGCCATGAATCCTAGCTACAAGGCAAACTGACTGCTCAAGTTTAAGATTTGCCATTCACTGATGGCTCACAGAAGTGAATGCTTTGCTAACCAGGCATTTCAGGCTTTTCCTAGCAAAAGATGCTTCCTGTGGCTTTGACTGCTTCCACAGCCTCCATTCTCTCTCACTTAGGATTCTTAGCCTTTTATGTTTGGAAATCTACTTGTCTTTCCTTTGCCACCTGTCACCCTCAAATAAGATTAAGAAAAATCCAGTGTAAAAATGTAATACGTTTTCTCATGATTATAACAAGGGGGATTTATTCAACATCTTTTTTCCTGTCCTTCAATCTTCTGCTTTTATATCTATGCATGCCTTGTTTTTGTTTGATAACTGTAGGAACAGATTTTGGAACTTGAAAAGAGCATCACATTTCCACATATTCTACAATATTTTCACTTAATGTTCTCATAATATTTTTCAGAACATTTTTTTTTCCTGTATGTTATCCCTTTTTGGCTGTTGTATCAAGGGAAATATCTGTACTACTTCAGGTTATCCAGAGACATGACCTTCTTCAGATTTTTTTCCCCAGGGATATCAATGTGTTGCACAAGAATATCCAGCTAAAAAATGATGATACTGAAATTCTTTTTAAAAGTAGGCTGGAGCTGCCATCATTAGCTCAAAGATGTGCCAGGCTGTACAGCAGCAGGTTCTTATTGCAGTTGTGAAGTAGCTGAAGGAAGATAACCAAATGCAAGATGAGTTAGTGAAAGTCTTTGCCTTAAATTTGGGACCTGTAAAGTGCTTTCCAGAGTAGTTCAAGGCTCACTCAGTACTTTTTGTTCCCTAATCATGTTCCTGTTACCATTTTTTTTAAAGTATCTTAGAGTTTATAAAATCCCTATGATTAAAGTAATTTTTAACGTAAGTGATTTTATTTCTGAAAATCATGGTACCTTTTTCCTTAGTAGATAAACAAATGTGATATAAGAGCAAACAAAGTTGTCCTGGGGAGCTGATTAAATATGAGCATTTCTTGTTTTGTTCCAGTTGCAATCGTGGTCCTGGTCTGGGCTGTGGTTTGGTCCATCACTGGGACTGAGTGTCTCCCCGGTGGAAACCTGTTTGGAATTCTCTTTCTTTATTTTTTTGCTGTCATTGGAGGTAAAATTTTTGGATTCATTAAAATACGAACACTACCCCCTCTCCCCGCTCTTCTGGGTAAGATATCCTTCCTTCTTTTCTTCCTGAATATTTGTGTTGTTTAAACTGTAAAGTAATATCTGCATGCTAGATATATTTGCATTGGGAGCAAACAAACTGTGTCACACTCAAAATCTGTAGCTTTTCCAAGTGACTTTTATCTGGTCCTCTCTGAGAAGGTGCAAAATTCCCTGAATTGTCAGGTGAAATTGTCTGTATGTTACTGAAGCTCTCCTCTTAATTCTTTGGGGGGCAGAGAACTGTATACCTACAGATTCAAAGGTTATTATCCTTTAGTCCCCTCTGTCAAAGTTGCTTAAAATTTGGTTTTTAATATCACTAAACAGGAGTCTTATTGCGGACCTCCTGTTACAGTAGAATAATTAATTCATAAGGAAATTGTTGCTGAACTGTTTCACGTGTATCTTGCACAGGAAAAATATTTTCCAAAGAAAACACTACAGGAATTCCCTACTACTGGTAATCCAAAGCAATTTATTTTCTTCTCCTTCCATTATCTCAAGATAACTGAAATCTTGAGATAAATCTTGAGATCTTGAAACTCAGAAAATAAACTCACCACATGGAATAATTCTTCTGAAAAGACGAATTCTTTTGAATCAATCATAACATTGTTTTTCATATCAGCAACTTATTTTACATAAAAATGCAAAATAGAAATAGGAGATGAAAATGACATTAACTCTGACATCATCAGAAGATTTTCAGGCTTCTTTCCTAAAGGATATTTTGGTTAGATGAGTACAATATTGTGTAGTGCTGTGATGTCCAGGTTCTTTTCACCAGCTGTATGCTGCCCCTTTACTGTGCTTGGTGCATAACTGAGCAAAGCTGTTGACAGCCAGTAAAACTTTCTGGCCGAGTGGGCTAAAAATATCTGCCTGTGGAGCACGGATGTGATTTTGTAACCTGCATAGCTGCTGGTGTGCCTCACACAGTAACGCTGCTTGCAGAAGGGCTCTGTAGCTTCAAATGCAGCTCCGTCCAGGCAGCAGGTGCCTTCTCCCACTGCTCAGTTTCACCAGCAAGAAAAAATTCAAATGAGAGGGAGGGAAGTTTTGCATATAGCACGCAGGCTGCGATAATATGAACACAGAATGTAACACACAGGGAGTCCGCCCTTTCTAAGTAAACACCCCCCCCTTAAAAAAAAAAAAAAGGGAAAAGTTTCTGACCGTTTGGATTCTGCTTTTTTTTTCACTACATCTGTATCTAAAAGTTATGAGCTGAGCATGAAACTGCTTTGTCAGACAGGTAATACTGAACAACAGAAACTTGAGCATGACAGCACATGTCTGTTGAGTTGCTGAGGACAGAGTTCATTATTCAGATCCCCCGTCTGAGGAAAGTTGGAGAAGTCTATGAGTCAGAAGAAGAGATAGACAATGCCTTTGAATATTCTTTTCAACACTTAAAATACAAATCTTGTACTCTTCCACGCCTTTAAGGCAATTGTGCCAAGTGCAGTTGAGTGTAATGTGGCTGGCTGAGCACTTACACACCTTATAGTGAGCTTTTGAGGGAAAAAAGCAGTGAAATTGCTACTGAAACAGTCATATAGTATACTTTAGGTATACATTGCAGAGGGGTTTCTGCAGCAGGCAACATGGAGCAGAACAGTGAAAATATCTTCTGAGGTGCAGTTTTTTGTTTTAAGTAGATTTCTAGATCGGGGTAGCTCTAGTGACTCGGACCTCAAGCAAACATTGCAAAAAGCATGTGATGATTATGCTGGTTTGATATAATTGTCATGAGGTACTGCAGATTAATTTTGCCACTGCTTTTTTTCCGGGAAGGACAATGACTGAAAGTTTAGCATCCTCCAGGACAAATCAAGTCCACAGCCAAGGCTCACACCAAGCCAACACCAACCTAAGCCTAGTGTTTGTTTACTTTTTGTCTTTTTTCCGTTTCCTGCTTCTTAACGTGGCTAATATAAAACTACACCACAAAAAAAAAATGTACCTTTACATCAGCAGGACCTACAATGAATCTCCAAAGATCTATATTTGAAGTCACCCTTTCCTGCACTTTTCTGTTAACTTCCAGAGCTACAGTTCTGATAGCTTTTAAGAAAGTCTCTGATTAAACAGTTTTTCTAATATTTGCAAAAGTTTGGATCTTGCAAGAAGCTCAAATAGAGAATAAGAGCAAGTTCCTGATTTTCCTCCCTCTTTTTTCCTCCCTTCGCATAAGAATCATATTGCCTAAACGTTTTAAAATATCTAAGTTAGTCCATGATTAGCCGTTTTAGATTGTATTTCCCAATGAACTCAGCATTACCTGTGACGCCTGCATTTCTTGCATCTAAGAGGATTTTTAACCATTTTCAACTTCTGAGATAAACACACAGTACCAGATGATCTTCCTCTTTTTATGTTAAAACAAGCTAACAAGAAAAATATCTTTAAGGATGCAGAGGTGTCTTTGCTTAAGAGGTGTCTTTGCTTTTGTATCACCTGCACCTGATGAACAAAGCTGAATTCTGTTGACTCTCACCAAAGCTATATGTCAGCATCCTATGGATTTATTCATTGGTGACTTGGTGTGTTCTTAGGCTGCTTTTATTGCTTTAAACACGTCTCTCTCTTTCCAAACCTCAGTCCCCTTTGTTAAAACGCGGCTAAAAATTCAGAACAGGAACGGTTTCTTTGTCTCTCATAAATACGGTGTCTGTTTTTAAGAATGCTGTGCAAGCTTCTCTTGTGCAATAAAAACAGATCATTTGACAGGAGCTTATTTGCTTTCACTTAAGGGATGCTACTTGCTGGTTTCCTAATCCGAAATACCCCGTTCATCAGTGACATCGTCCAGATAAAGCTACGCTGGTCTGCTGCACTGAGGAATGTTGCTCTTTCAATTATCTTGACCCGAGCAGGACTCGGCCTGGACCCAAAGGTATGGCATCAACCGTTTGTTTGAGACACAGTATACAGATTGAAAAAATTGAATAATCAGTTCTGTTAAAAATATTGAACTGTTCAGTCTTACAGGATCTGCAAATTAGAGCACTACAGAAAGCATAGTTTCTATTGCATAGTTGTGTTTAATATTGGCAGTTGGATTTGTAGAGTAGGCAAGCAATCCAAAAAATACCTGAAGAAAACTGATTTTATGACTATTTTCTCCCTTGCCTTAAAAAAATTTCCTGAATTTTGTGAGCAGAACATCTTGAGGACGTGCTCCATCATTGTCTGTCAGGAAGAGTTTACACTCCCTGGCAAATATTCTGTCACTTTACACTGAAATATTCTCCAATCCTTGAAAAAAAATGTTGCTTGTATTGATACCAGTCAAAAAAACCCAACCAACCAAAAAATCCAAACCTGTGTGTCGATTTCGATTTTACTTTTTTTTTTTTTTTTGAATTTTTGCCATTTTTATGCAAATATTTTGGTTGCAAAGATGAGTCCTGCTGCACCTTGGAAACAATGCTTCACATCACAATAAAGCCCATAAAGCTTCTGTGAAAAAAAAATAGT